AACTTTCTCATTAGACTTCTGACCCGAGTGTTTCAAGTATAAAAACGTTCTGCTATGCGGTCCGCAACTTATCCTGGTATTATTTTAGGCGTAGAAACTAATAAAAAGATTCAGCAGCGCAAAAACTACATTCGAATGTGTCGGTAAAACAGACGACTTAAGCGTCCTATTTCGAAAATCGATCGAAAATTCGATGCCGCGAGTGCGAGACGGTACCTTGTACTGGAATTTATTGGTCTCGTCTTCATCGTGGACGGTCACGGTGAGTATCGGCATCTCTGGCAGATCTGGCCCTTCCGTCTCGTCCACTTCTGTAAACCACTCGTCCTTCGTGAATTGCGGCGGCATGTCGTTTATGTCTTTGACCCGTATCGATGCCGTCCCGGTGCCTGCCAAGAAATGCATATAGAAATGCTTGCAACGACGCCTCCCTGTGGAATATCCTGGGCGGCTCTTAAAAGATGCAAAACTGCATTGCTCGCGGAAATATCTGTGGCCGTTTCACGCACACGGCGGCTCGGACTTTCGACTTTCGTACGTGAATACAGACGAACATCCAGAATCTAAGTGATAAAAAACGCATGGGGAGAACGGACGGTAATGTTTTTTAGTAAACGAGCGTAGAATATATGATAGAAAGATAATCGACGTCCTTTTACCCGCGCTGGAAGGAATATTTTACCGGATAACATTTCGCAGGAGAATAAAAATTGATCGATTCTGGACGGAAGCTGGGGCCGGTTAGTAAATCATTCGTTTTGTACACTGCGACAGCTACGACCGCGATGATTATTAATGGCCGCGATTGAAAAGGGAAATACGAAGCTCATTGGAATTGAAATAACACTGAAAGGATTTTACCCTTTAACCCCCCTCCATCCATCGCGACGACCTGTATAGAATAATCCGGGGTGCGTTCTCGGTCCAGGCAGCACACGGCGGTCTTGATCACGCCAGTTTCCGATTCAATTTCGAAAATGGGCGAGCCAGTCTCCTCCTCGATGACGTTCTTCTCAATGGAATAGATAAGTTTTGCGTTCGTGCCTTCGTGCGGGTCGTCGTAATCCACAGCCGTCATCGTCATCACCACCATTCCTGGCAAAAGATCCTCCGGGTCAATTCTCCCGCTGCGAAATTCCCGATTGGCGAGCGAACGAGCGACCGATCTCTATTTTTTTCCCCCCCATCTTTATCGCGAGCCGTAAGATATGCAAATTGCCGACGCGCGTAGATCTCCGCGTTATAGCAGCCACGGAACGGGAATATAATCAGCGCAACTCTGATAGCATGGGAACGTAACCGCGCCCGTGTATTGCCCCATCGGCCATCTCCCACAAACCTGCGGTGCCGTTCTCGGTGACGTTGCCGAAGTAGACACCCTGCGGGAATATCGGGGCGTTGTCATTGATGTCCTTGAGGTTAACTTGGACGTCGGCGTAACCCACGAGACCTTCTCCACCCTCGTCCTGAGCAAACACGGTGAACCGCCACTGCGGCCGGCCATTCGGCTGATCTCTGTCCAGCGGCTGCACCGGGAGAAAAAGGAGAGTCACGCGCGGATCCTTTGAGGGGGTCGGCCAAACGTATACTTCGACGTGGACGTCGTGTATTGACACGGTCCTTGCACGAAACTCAATATCGTACCGCGACACCGATATCTGAATTATTCCATTGCAATATCGCGCCGCCGCCACGTGCACAAATATGTGCATTCCGTAGCCGCAGAAGAATTAATTCCCGTGCCGGCCGGGTGCTGAATTACGCCAGGTGTTTAAATATCATTGCGGAATCATCGCCCTTCCTGAGTCGCCGTTTTGCAATCTAATGTCAAATCCTTGTCGAAGTAAAATCTCTGCCGGATTAATATTAGAGAGCAGAGTCACCTATTGTCACTCTACTCTGGGGAGAAAAAAGGCAGCAACCCATTTTCGGGCCCGCAATGAAAGAAACGCCACACCGTCGTGCTTTCTAATTTTTTAATATTAAATGTTTAAAGCGAATTTACGCTTTCTATGTCGCGACGCTCAGAAATAGTTGCATCTAGTGTTGGCTTGAAATTTTTGCAAACAATTATGTTAACGAGTATACACGAAATGATGCAGCTGTGACATAATGCAACGCTTTCACACGTGACAATCATCGCGCAATCGGTTTAGGTCTTAATCCTTTAACAGCAAAGTCCGGCAAAATGTCGATTAATCTAAAAACATACCTTTAGGACAAAAATCTCTCCACTCGTGCGGTTGATGTCGAACTTGCTGTTCGCCGGATTCTCGGAATCGATACCTTGCCCAGTCAGGAAGTAGACAATGTTTTGCGGCCTATCTTTATCCCCGTCGGTCGCGAGTACCTGCGATTCAAATATTACTTGCTAATTGGCCGCAAACTCGCCATACGAACGGGGCAAACGTTCCTCTGGAGTACATAATTTGCAAAAGTTCGATGTAACGATTACATAGGGAGAGCAATTACCCCGAGAACGCGTTTCGGCAAAGTCCTGTCGTCCTCCTCGGTAATTTGTGTTCTGTAATTTGGTCGCTCGAAGACGGGCGGGTTGTCGTTTACGTCCTTCACGTGAATTACAACTGTCGTGTAATTCTCCTTCAAGTTGTCCGACGCAGTAAGCCGAAGCTCGTACTGCAAGACACACGCGCGAATTTTGTCGTGAAATACCGCACGGTCCACAAGATATTCAGTATCTTAAACGCGGACTTTCACGCGCGCGAAGAAATGACAGGGCAATTAACGCCATTGACACGCTATATCAATTACCAATCGACGTAATTGTTATGACTCGATTGTCATATCAATTATCTATTGGTGTAATTAACTCGATTGTCACGGTATCAATTATCATATCATTATCAATTGCAATGTTATACTGATATGTTTCCACTGATAAAAATTTATTGTGAAACGCAAACAGCATGCGTGAAATAAATCTGACATTGCTATATTTATATTTACATATTTTCAACAAATTGCCCGTCGAATTAATTGTTTAATCTCGCACTCTTCAATTATTTTCAAGCGATGCGACAGAAATGAAAAGCAAAGAATTGACAGAATCATTTTTTTTAACGAACGAAACGTCCCGAATGATTTCCGAATAAACGAAAATGCTAAACAGCTACAAAGTGTAGAGAGGCGTTCGAGCGGCACGCTCGGATGACATTTATGGCGATACCTACCCTCTTTCTCGTCTCATAGTCCAATGCACCCGCGACGTAAATGGCGCCGGTCATGTTTTTCACGGCGAATGCGCCGCCTATGTTCCCGCTCGTGATCTCGTATCGAATACGCGAGGCTGCGACAGAAAGGAGCGCGCTTTTAATAAAAGCGAGGCGCGAGACTCTCCATCCAACGACGCTTTCGTTGTAATCGAATGAATTCTGAGATAAAAGTTCTCTCGCGCTTGGGGCGAGTTTTATCGAATAAGAAAAGTTCCGGGGGACGTTAGCGCGGGGAGGTGGCCGCCTTCGATCGATCACCGTTTCCAAGTCCACTCGATACTTTCGATCCAGTTCGCGATAATTTCCCGTTTCCCAAGATGCGGGACTCTTGTAAAAGTTGCCTGACAATAATGGTGTCCGGTAAATTCTATTTCAGATCGATCCGGGCGATAATCCGAATGCGCCAAAATTTAAGGGTATATCCCTTCTTACTAACACAATTCCCATACGGCGTCTTTAAGACACCTTTAAGTCGTCTTTTACACACACATATCTAAAGGCGCCTTAAAGATGTCCTTTAGCCATGCGTGCTGTATGGGTTCTTGCTTTTCCAGCCTTTTCAGACGTAGGGGAGACCGGGTTTGGAAGTCACGCTTCTTTTCTTAAAAGTGTTTCGGGCGATTTTTCCAATGCAATTTAAATAATCGCTTCATAAGACATATATCTGGCAAACCTCTTGCACAAAGGTCGTTGGGATAGCAATAACCAGTTAAGAGAAAATTGATGTTAAGCACAAAAGTAAATTTGCGACGCCTTACCCAGCTTAGGGATGGTTGATGCAACATACAGATGCAACTGATTTATGAAATAAGAAACGGTCGAGTATAAAACAAGGTTTATACTTCCTGTTAAATACAGTGAGTTATCTTCATGTAAGCCTGTTAATTTAACGTAGTAGGTAGTTTGACTGCTAAAATCAGTTAATTTACCGAAATTAAAAATCTACTTCTCTCGTACTAATTTTCTCAATTATTTTAATAAAACCACCTTGTTTATTATACATTTAACATATACCATTACTATTGCCTACTATTTTTTTCAATGCGTTAATATGCGCAACTAATTATTGAGTAATAATATTACGACTTCAAGTGATATCCAAATATATTCTGATACGCGGTCCAAGTTACGTAATGTTATTCATAATTTTTAAATAGAATAACGCAAATATCTAAACAGCACAGGCACGCGGGAGGAACGATACGTTTTATTTGTTAACGGACTGTGATCACAATCATACCGTTTCTTTAGTGTTATTCGCACAACGTCAGCACTGTATGTACGTTCAGTTTGAAAAGAATGCGGTATGCATTTAATTTAAACATCTTTTGCGTATTTTGTAAACGTAAATAACGCAAACGTAAACACTGCCCTCACATGCACCGCGGTTATTTGTTGGGCCGTAATTTAAACGTTTCCGAATTGCCGTGAAAACTCGCATATAATGACCTGTTTACGTGTATTACTGAAAAAGATTAAATATCGAAATAGAGTAAATGGGATGAGGCTTTATTTAATTTGCTTCCGGAACGTTCCGCGCGTAACTACGCGCTCCGCGTTTTACTACCGAATGCACTCGCTGCGAGGCGGGTGTTTCTATAGCGTAATTAACTTCGGTGCACCATAAGTAAGAGTAATGGAATGGTTTATAAATTTTTTTTTAATGACAATCATTTTACGTGCGAGACGTGAGATGAGAGTGGACAAGATTCTTTATTTAATTCACGTGTTCGGAATGTATTGTGCGTAACTCCGCGATCCGCGTTTCACTATCGAATTTAAACGCATCCCCCTGCGAGGCAAACGTCGCCATGGTACCTGCGTAATTATTAATTTCGACAGGAGTCAGAATGATGGGACGATTTTAATTTTTGGATCCTTCTGTGTATGGAATGTAATAGTTGAGAATAACGTTTTATTTAATTTACGCTCGGAACGTGTATTGTGCACTGAAAACAATGACCTTGCAGCAACAATTTTCGTACCGAATCGAAAAAATAACTGAGATATACAAATGAATAACCAATACCGCGGCTTACGTTTTGTATCAATTTGAATAACAGAAACAGAATTTCTATCTGCAAAGTTTTTCTGCGACGCCTATCCATTACAACGTTTGATTGTGATACATAAACAGTTATTCCTTGCAAAGATTGTTTTCTAGCTGTGGTACCGAAATTCACTTTTATCCAACGATGCATATTTAGTCGTGAAACCTAAACGTTGCAGAAGGTATCGCTAGAATGTTGCTGCTATAAATTTTGTAATTTTCTAACAGATATAAAGAAATAGCGATAGATTTTTGTTGCGACACCTAGAAATCTACTTGCGTTAGTCAGATACTTTCTTGAGCGTGCGTAGCTACGCGATCTGCGTTTCGCTATCGAATTTAAACGCATCCCCCTGCGAGGCAAACGTCGCCATGGTACATGTGTATATTAATTTCGACAGGAGTCAGAATGATGGGACGATTTTAATTTTTGGACATGGCGATCCTTTTGTGTATGGAATGTAATAGTTGAGAATAACGTTTTATTTAATTTACGCTCGGAACGTGTATTGTGCACTGAAAACAATGACCTTGCAGCAACAATTTTCGTACCGAATCGAAAAAATAACTGAGATATACAAATGAATAACCAATACCGCGAAATGGCTTACGTTTTGTATTGGATCAATTTGAATAACAGAAACAGAATTTCTATCTGGAAAGTTTTTCTGCGACGCCTATCCATTACAACGTTCGATACATAAACAGTTATTTGTTCTAGCTGTGGTATCGAAATTCATTTTTAACCACCGATGCATATTTAGTCGGGAAACCTAGACTTTGCAGGAGGTGTCGCTAGAATGTTGCTGCTAGAAATTTTGCTACAAATAATTTTCCAACAAATACAAAAAAAATAGCGATAAATTTTTGTCGCGACACCTAGAAATCCACTTGCGTTGGTAAGATACTTTCTTGAACGTGCGTAACTACGCGATCCACATTTCGCTGCCGAATTTAAAACGCAGTGATGCAAACATCACCGTGGTATATGCATAATTATTAATTTCGCCATACAATGAGCTAGAATAATGGAACGATTTGAATTTTCGGAAATGGCGATCCCTTTGTGCACGAGATGTAATAGTCGAGAATGACGTTCGCAATTGTATTCGCGAGAATGTCTATCTCATAATGTTAGACTTGTCATGCTGTGACAAATGAGACCGCGGTACGAAATTCCCTCGCCGTATCTCCCTAATTACCTCGCACGTTAGAATTAACACTGCGTATATTTGCGATCGGACGCGCAAATATTTCCAAGATACACATGCGGGCACGGCAAGTATCGCACCAACATAGTTAAAATATTGAAAAGATACACGGACCGCGAATATTCTCAGCATACTTTATATCACGCGGGAACGGAGTGATGACAATTAATGGGATAAGCATTGCCAAAGAGGCCAGTTACTTACACTCGTCGTGATCTTTGGCGGTGACGGTGAGCACCGTGTGCTGAATGTCCTCATTCTCGTCTACCTCAGCCTCGTAGAGGCCCTTGTCGAAGTATGGGGGATTATCGTTCTTGTCGGCTATCCCAATGCGAATGAATTTTGTTACTGTAACACATCAAAAGAATATAACATTAGACCAATTTTACATAGAATTGGAAAGCGAAGGAAAATGTTTGACACGTTAGACGCCGTCGGAAGTGTTGCGTTGCTAGTTTCAAAAATGGCTACAAACAAGTCAGACTTTTACAAATTACGTCGAGACAAAGTTTTGCTCAGCCGGGACAATTTTTGCCACTCACGGATAATAATAGAAATACGTTTTATTCTTTTACATCAGCGAACTATTAGACGCTACACAAGTTCTTTGAACATTCGCGGGAAAGTTTTGATAATTAATTGAAACTTAAAATCTCGCCTGAAAAGTGACGATTCCTACACGATCTAAAATTCATTGCGATGTATCGAGACATTCACAACTTTACAGAGAACAAAGCACTGTAAAATAATTTAAAGTAAAAAAGCATCTTCTTAATTTCCAAGTAGACAAGTGTTTCGAAAGGTAAATATTCCTTATTCGCCGAATGTTTCCGTTGAAGCTACAAATGCAGCTTAATCTTGCGCAAGATATAAAAACAACCGCACGCTTGATCAAACGTACATTGTCATTGAACCTGTCGCTAGTCGCACCGAGAAGAAGTTCTTACTTCGTATCAAGTCGTAAAGGAAAGGAATTTCCTAGGGCTTGGGGCACGGCCACCCCCAACTTTATTCCTCGCGTTATGCATTCTCGCGGCTTGGTCTTAATGCACTTTGCACTAAAGCACGGAACTTGGATGATAAAGAATCCCGGACCGTTAATCATTTTTTCGCCCCACTACGGAAATTTAAGATGGGCAATTACCGGTCGCCGCGAGCAAAAAGGTTAAGTAGTTTCAGATAACGGCACTTCATTCCAGAAGTAGACGTTTATTGATGGAACTAGGTTGCCCGCTAGAAGAAAAATGTATAATTGCGGGAGCTCTTTTTTTCCCCTGGATTGGTACATTAAGCCCTTAACCGCATTTTATGGGGGTAAGGAGAGCGGTAAACATCGATCAGTTCCGCATAAATTTTGCATAATCCGCGGCATAATGCACAAGGAATGTTTGTCATTTTATCGGCTCGCCGGTACGCCGCGGTCCATTATAAAGGGATTTAAACGTACGATTAATTACGCTGTGTGCCGCGTTATTAAAAGTTCAGACGACGCCCGTATAATGCGATTAACCGGCGGCGAATTTGTTTTAATTAATCGCCGAATTAAATCGACGAGAGCCCGCGCTTTATCCGGCGGATGTTCGAGTCCGCGCCTCATCGCTCACTCGTCCCAGCTGCGACAGCCGTTTAAAAAGCACGCAGCGCAAATCGAGCGTGTATTTATTTAGCGAAATCGTGCGCCGTTATGTAGCGGAACGCGCGTACATCGAGCGTATTAACGGGAGAGAGAGAGAGAGAGAGATCCATTAAAATGTATTCCCCGTGTCCGTTCCCGATGCCGACGATACGCCGCGCGGCCAATTTGTGCCCCGGAGAGTCGCCCCTGCCAAGGATTCTCCGCCCTGCTTCAACTACCCGTGCCCCGTTTCCTTTGCTCGGCAAACACTCGGTTGATTAAGTTAATCCGAGCGCGAGTCCCGTCCTTTCACGCCACTCCGCGGAGTGCGAGGTAGTTTAGAAACGGAGAACACGTGTGGACCCCAACGTTGCGAGTGCATGACTGTCGTTTAATTTAATTGAGAGTTAATTACATCCGGGAGGATCCCCCGCCATAATTATACTCTTAATCTTGAAATTAAGCTTCGAGTTATCCCGCACAAGGGGCTACTTTACAAATCGCGATCATGAAAAACCGTGCTCTTCAAATTATATTAAGTGAAGGCTCTGTGTAAGAGCAATAATATTAATTATGGCGATAGGAGCCTTTGACGAGTCTTTTACGATACTTGAATGTGTTTGCATGTGGATGGAAAAGAACGAGGGCACACCTTTTGAATATTAAACACATGTAACAACCAACGCTGCGGTTTTACTTTTAATTATTGTGATGTCATTGTCAAAGGTGTGTACTTGTTCTTTTCCATCCTAGCGCAAACGCGTTCAAATATCCTAAAAAATTCGTCAAAGGCTCCTATCGCCCTCACCACAATTATTATCGCCATGCTTTTCGTATCGTTCGAGCTGCGAGTGTAAATGCATTCGCCGTCAGCGAGAATTAATATCGCCCGGCGATTTTTCTCGCGGCGAATGGAACATTTTTATTGTCCACAATTTATTGTCCGTTTAAACGACAGATTTGTCTAAGCTATTTGTATTGTTATTTAATTTGTTGCGAGGCTATTTATTATTCAACATCAATACGAATGCACTTAGGAAATACATTAATTGAGGATTATAGCGCAAACGCATGATCGAGTTTCTTGTTTACCGAATCAATATTTCAGCTCGCCGGGTCCGCGGTTTCGAACGCGGGCCAGTCAAGAAATATTGCTGCAAATTATACGAATGCGATTTAGACATTATCACGCGCAACGTAATTCTAGAGCTTACGTAGATCTAAGTGAACTCCGCGTAACGGAGGTGGCTGCGCGCCGTGCCATCAATATGCGCAATTAAACTGCACGAGGCAATCCGGCGGGAGAAAATCTGTTATTACACGGGATTGCCATTAAGACTCGAGACGAGCCGTTATTAAACCGTCGCCGTTAAAGAAGAAACTTATCGCCGGCAGTCGCTAGGAGACCCTGGGAAACACACTACGGCTCATTTTCGCGAAGATCGCGGCGATAACGGCCGGCAAACATGATTGATTCGTAAGCTCGCAGCTTCCGACGTAACTGGGATGAAGTTACGTACCGGACGCGCGTGTACACAGAGCACGCGAGCGCACGAGGAGGATCGTGATAGGCGAAATTTACGTAATGATAATTCATCATTGCGCTTATCGTAAATGTTACCCGCCCCGGTTGTACATCATTGTTAGCGGGGGAACGTCAGCTTTCCTTTTAATAGATTGCATCAACTTTACACGTTGCACGATGCGTTTGCGTTTAGCACTAAACGCGAATCGTGCGCCGCGGTAATGCGATACTAGATTACCATAATCGAGATGGATCGCGCATTTTTCGCGGGCGAGAGCGAGTTTTATATAGTCGCGGGAATTTATCATCCTCGGGAAGCGACGATGATGCACACTCTGGAATTAAACACATGTAACTGTCGCCGCGCTCTTGGAAAGTTTCTGGTTCCACTCGAGCTGCCGCGTCTTTCGTTCTCGTCTTGTTTAACGACCAAGTTTTTAACCGGCGCGCGCCAAATGGCAAGTTCGATGTGTTTCTCTTTAAAGAAACGCTATTCTCTTGCCAAGTAAAAGATCATTGTGGCGCGTAAGTTAGCTATATTCTGGGCATTTACAATTAATTAATATTACACCCTCGGAAAGGATTTCTGTTACCGAGGCAAAATATATTCCTGGCGCATTTCTATTTCTCACAACCTCGTTTAGTATAAAAATCGGACACCATCAAAATTAAATCAATAATTCTTATTCTCCTCTGTCGAATTAAAAAGATTGACTTACTATATTGTGACAAGAGTAAGTTTATATATTCTTGCGTTTAGAATAAATTTTCCCTCCATCTTAGTATTATTTTATTCTAGATTTTAGAATTTTTCATTTAAGATTAAAATATTCCTTTCTATAAATAAAGAAATCTTTATTTTTCTCTACAATAAATGTCGATCGTATTTTATGATCTATGGAAGTGTAACAGCATTGGATCCTTAAATTTTTTCTGTGGGTGTAACCTAGATTGCGCACACGGTGGCAATGTTTGATCGTAAATAAAAAAACAATCTTGGATTGAAACACTTTTGATAATGGAAATTATTCGTACCACGATAAAAATGCGCAATGTCACTACAAACGCGCCCGCAAATTGGCAAATTAATCAGCAGCAAGCAGCTTAATGCTGATAAACATCCGAATTAATTATTCAATTATTTACGTATATTAATGAAACTTGATGCAATACTAAACAAACGTAAATGTCGCTTCGAGCCAATAACATACAACGGCTGTTAAGTAATTTTTGTTTCTAATTCTACGATTTATTATTTTACTAAATAGCCCTCGTAACAATGTTCTAGTTCGTTGTACAAATTGATTAGGATTTTATTATTAGAGAGCAAGCTCGCCCGTTCGAAGCTGTATTTACGACACTTGTAATGACGTAAAGTTCCCCCGGCTAATGTCGCAAAAGATTTGCCGCGCTGAAACGACAAAATCCTGCGTGCTAACGAGAGGATTAAGCGCCGCCGTCGCAAAAACTCGTCGCGAACGATCGAAGAGACGATCGGCGATTTCCTCTCGGAGCTCGGTGCATCCTCTGCGGTGCATCAAGACCCTCTCTCGTCGTTGGGGGGTAGCTACACCCAATGACGGTACACGACGGTCCCACGAAACGCGTTACTGGGCCACGGGGTAAGAAATCGATGAAGCCCCCACCCCTCGCCCTCCGCAACCCTGTCCCACCGCTTCTGCACTGAGTGCGGCGTCGTCCCAACGGCGCCGAGAGAACACTCGCTTCTTAGCCGCACCCCGGCAACACTCGATTGGTTCCTAAAATACGAGCACCCTCGAGGCTTTTCGCCACTCTCGATCCCACAGACGAGAGCGGCTCGTTAACGCCAAGACGGTCCTCGAGGGTCACCTGCCAGCTTGGAATTATACGCTGGTAAATTAAGGGTCGACCTTGCGCCGGTGTCAGCGTTACAGCTCAGGGAGGGCTTCACTTTGATTAATCTCGTAATTTCATTAAAGATCGCCATAATAATCGCGCCAGATAGTCGAACAGTCCAAAGTGTTCGGCGACGATGAGACCGGGGTGTGTCGCCACGCTCTCTCTCTTGCTCTCTTTTAATTTCACCTTTATTACACAGAGAAAACGATTTCTTTCGATTTAATAAACTTTGTTGCGCTCAAATAAATTTGATATTTGGAACCGTCCAAACAAATCATTTGTTTCAATTTGAAATATAATAATATATATCTTCGTCTGAAATAAAAT